TTCACAGGATAAGCTAGGCAACCACCCTCCAGAAAAAATCCCTCAGGGGTGACTGCAGTATTCCATCCAAGAGCCGAATTTTACAATATGGTCCAACTTTGCTGTAAACAATGATTTTAAACAGAACATCCTAACCTGTGACACAAGGGAATCAAAATTACAGTAAGATACACAATAGCCTAGAAGTCTTGGTTGGCACGGAGACAAATAAAGGTCCTGGTAAGGAGATAACATTAATAAATTGTGGCAATTTCTCAACCATATACTAGCATAGGGAGCACTCTTTACCTGGTCCATGGATCACCCTGATGTATAGCACTAATGCAGTGTAGTTGCATCACTCTCATAGACACCACAGGCACACCCAAGCACTCCCCTTCACAACAACACCCCAGGTACTCTCCAGTCTGGTAGAAAGGTTCCACAGAAGGTTACTGACCACAGGTGATACTGTACTGGGTAGCAGGAACCAGGAACCTCAAGAGAGGCAAGGACTGTCAGGACACTCACTATGCCTCCAAGTGAGTTAAAGAAACCTAGACATTAGCAATAGGACAAGAAACAAGGGTTATATTGGCTAAATAATAACAATGATAAGGCCCTTATTCAACTTGGTCACAGGACTAATCTATCAATAAGGTTTGCTAACTAACTGTAAGAAAGTCTCTGGCTAAACAAGCATATTAAAACAGAGCCTTGGTTGAATATGATCACTGACTAGTGAAATACGAAAAACAAGCACCAATATCAATGTCTAATCCTAGTCTGCAATACCGGAATTGAAGGTGATGGGTGCTAATAATGAGCACACATATGAATGAGTCATCTCCTAATACTATCTTCCAATAATTAAATCACTACAACCACATCACTTGTTGGTTGCACAACTGGTTAACTAAATCACTGGTGGTCTGAAAGTCTAAGCCCAATTGTACTTAAAAGAGTTGACATCAGGGCAGATATTCCTAGTAACTTGCAAATATTGGTTCAAAACCAGCATATCCAAATGAAATGGCTAAAGACTTGCTCATGAGTAGGACTAATATGCAGCTAGCTCAGTTAGTTAAGTAATGATTACAAAGCCTAGGTTGACATTTAAACAATGAGCTTCAGCAAGGTGATCTTCAAGGAGCTGCAGTTTGGAAGATAAGAAGACTCAGGACAGGAAGGTCAGGACTGGGCAAGTCTGGATTCCAGGGGCCGTATTATCAAAACTTCGTAAGTATGCAAAATCGACTTACGAGTGGCGTTGCCATGACAACGTAATACTAGCGGTGGTATTATATAAACATTTGAGCGGGAAAAATTTGCGCGGGGAAAACAAATTAGGTTTTTGTTAAGACTTGCGTACGAAAGTTTTGATAATGCGAAAATTAGGGTGTATTTACGTACCACAGAACTTTTTTGTCGTAAGTACAAAAAGTTACGAAGTTTTGATTATCCGGCCCCAGGTCTCCTCAACAGCATGCCAGCTGGGTCCCACACTGACTGCTCCTATCAAGTTAACAGAATAACGGGACTAGAGTCTATGGTCTTTAAGGGCAGTTAAAGGGGATGTGTACCTCAAATCAGGGGTATTTTGGTTAGGATTTAAACAAGCAATAATGCATAAATCAGCAAAAACACAGAACAAATGTCCAAGCAACATGGCAAGACAAGAAAAGAAAGCACCGTATGGTAAGGCAACCACTTGATTTGAGATCTAATATTTGTAATGATTCAGATTCGATGTAAAAGCAATCAGGAAAGTGAATAAAGCAATTCAAAACAGGAACAAGGTGACATTAAACAGGTAACAAAGTAACAAGCAAGCTTTATTGCAGTAACTTAAGTGCATGAGATTGATAAGGGAAGGTATATTATTATTCTTGAGTTGATCAAGTCTTAGCAACTCACCCTTAGGGAGCAGCTACGTTGCTCAGCAAGCAGGAATGGGTTGACAATGACTTCCAGGGTTAAATGATCTTCAGGCAATGGATGCAGGTGAGGCAAGCAATTAGGTGCAGACAAGGATCACTAAGCGTGATAAGTGGTGTGCTTACTAAACTTAACCAAGACTCTTAATAGTGCATGCTACACTCCAAACATGATGACAAGTCAGAAGCACTTGAACTTTTCAGACATTGCATAAAGTTGCATGCTCTACTAGTGAATTATTGATGGAGAACAATGCCTGAAACAAATACAAGGGAAGGAAACATTCATTAATAATAACAGTCACAAAGGCCCTAAATTGAATGGAAAGAGCAAACCATATTAGGAAGCATAACCTAAAGTGAGCAATACACCAAAGTGCCAGGAATGAAAAGTAAGAACTTAATAATCTAAGATTAAGCAAGAGGAGCAATATGCTCCTCTTAAACGCATTTGGTTTTTTTATAGTTTTTCATTTGTCAATGAGTCCTTAATGTGACAGAATATACCGCGTTTACCCTAGGTTATAGCCTATGACCAGATTCCGACATTGCACCGCAGCCACCGCTTGCTTGATTTAATGACGGAAATATCCGTGATATTTGTGAAGCCATTCTAGATTATCATCAATTGTTGTTTATCTTCAACTGAACAATTTTTACAATGAATAGGGTAAACTTGGTATATTCCAACATTGTGGGTAATTCCAACACCTCTCTAGTTTTTCCTTTATATTAAGCTTTGTCTTAATTCCGTCACTTCCACGCATTCATTGATGGTTGAAATAGTGACGTCATACCTTTGCGCGCCAAACTATTCCCAAAACACTAGGTCTGGGCCATCTGGCAGGAAAATGTTGAGATCCAAAGAGAGACGGTGCATGTCACCCAGCGAGATCATCGAAAAATGTGTCAAAGTTGACAGTTGACCTTGCTCTACCAAATAGTGATAAACTGTTTGTGTAGAAATAATATTATGGTTTGAGACTTTTAAATAAGTCTTTGAATATATTAGGAATCTTTTAAGTATACTTGTATTTGCTAATTTCAAGTCATAAATAAATTAATAGATGATTAAGTTAAGAAACGGATTTAGACTCGTAAAAACTAATTCTGACACAACTTGAATTGGACACACACAGCTCATTCCAAGCTGTGTGCAAAAATTAAAATTTTCTTAATTAAAAGCTTAATAGCTGTTAATTAAAAGCCTAATTAAGTAGTGTTCAATATTCAATAGTGTTCTTATTCAAAGCCATGTCGTATTCCAATACAGCTCACACAGCAATTGGAATTCGAACACAAGGATGTCGGAATTACGTATTAGTAGAGTTTGAAGCGCGGCCAGAATTTGTCTAACAATGTGCCAAATTTAGTCACACACAGCGTCGGAATATAGGGATTTGGTAGGTTTGCATTCTAAAGGCTTTTAAATAAATATGGCAACAGTTTGACGTTTCATTGTTGCTGGCGCATAGTGCACTGTTTTGAGAGTCACGTAAAGCAAACAGAACTTCAGTAATGCATACAGTTATTTTTTTATAGTTTTTCATTTTTCAATGCGTCCTTAATGTGTCTGAATATTCCGCATTTGCCCTATCTTCTAAAATAAAGAAAAGATGTCAACAATTGGTGGAAAGTCTTAGAATTTTTATTGCCAACAAAATTTTGAATATCATATGAAATGATGAGATAATCTGATTCTTTCATTGCATGCAATAACAGTGGTACACATTGTCGCAAAGGCTGGCACAACTTTGAGGAACTGGAGAAATCCCACTTCCTGTTTATGTTTGGCCAGTTCGGGCAACGTTAAATTTATTTTCACAATAAATAGATAATATTGATTTGATTCATAGTCCACACTGAGGTTTAAATAATGGAAAGATGTTTAACATTAAAACATCTCTTTTAAGTTTTATTTATAGGCATCAAGATACAAATTTTTCATGTTTTGTGTAATTTTGTCAATATTGTTTTTTTGACTTTGCTACGGAGTTCAGATCGGATCCTGAATGATTTCATCTCCCATCATGATTTTTTAGAGTCTCATATCATATAGAAAATGTTTGTTGTTTAGAAGGAAGAATTACTTTATTTTGATAAATCAGAGAGGCTGAACTTTGAGAACTTGGTCATGTACCATTATTAAAAATAACATATTATTATAAATAAAGTGTTATCAAAATTTACTAGCAGTGACACAGAAATTTAACCCAAAAACTCATATACAAGTATTTAAAATTCATAATTTGATTGATAATTAAATTGATGGTTTTTGTGAATATGATGCATAAATTATTGATCAGTTATGAACATTAAAAACATTTCTTAAAAATGTTTCACAATTTATAGGTACAGCACCTACATAAGTAAACATGACACAAGGTATTTGCAATTTTAATGTCCCGCGTTTGCTGCGGTTACATTAATCAATCATTCATATAACAATCCAATTTTACCACTTTTTCTTAGCTCGCTTTCGTGTCCGTCTGTGATGATCAAATCTTGCAATCGATATTTCGCCAACTTTCCCGCTAGCTAGCGCTCTGAAACTTTTAGGGAAGCTCAGCTCCCGATGACAATACAATAATCAATAATTTGTTGCACGTTTCCAGGCATATTTATTCAATGAAATGCGTGGAATTTATTCAATTGGTGCATGAAATGAAATTATATGCACCAATGTATCCCCTCGAATACAATTTTCTACAGAACTTCGAAAAGAATTTTCTTTCGTGCATTTGCGTGGCCACTGGCCAACTGAAATAAAATGAATATTATGTAGGACTAAAAAGGAGAAAATAAAATACTTAAAAAAAAACTTTTTAAAAAAACCACGTTTTTCTTGTGGACCAAAAAGTAGAAAAGAAATTATGGCTTGCCCCAAAAAACGTAGGTCGGACAGATTTATGATTAAAGCGAGAAGCACACAACACGAATTTTGGAAATTTTATGGTGAACATACAGCTCAACCCACGTTTTTTGGGGCGAGCCATAATTTATTTTCTATTTTTTGGTCCACAAGAAAAACGTGGTTTTTTAAAAAGTTTTTTTTTAAGTATTTTATTTATCCATTGATTCCAAATTAAATGACAATAAATAGATTTGGTTGGTAATTTATGAATCCATATTATATATGGGAATGAAAGCTTCCCTATTACTTCACGAACGTTACATAAATGTATATGCTTGTGAAAACTAAACCTTTGTAGTCAAAAGAGTCTTTAAAATGACAAAATAGCTTATTTTAAATAATTAGGTGTAATAGAAAGATTGCCATAAGATATGTAAGAAAAAACTGTTGTTTTTAACATGAAAAATAGAATATGGTTTATATAAAAGAAATACCCACATCTTACCACATCAACACCCATGCCCTCTCTCACTTGGCAACTACCAACTGAAATGCCATTAATCACCGGCAACTGCCGCCTGGAGTCTGGACCAATCAGTGAGATGTGTGCTTCATTTGCATGTTTACATAGATATTATTTTGCACCCCCCAAATGATCTCAGCAGTGTTAGTGTCATGTTGAGCAGTAAACTCTGCTTTGTAGCATGATATGTTATTATTTAATTTAAGCTTAGTTTATTGTGTCCAATTATTGTCAATGAACTAATACATCTTATCAGTCTAATAAAATTTTTTGTAGGTTTGCTTGAACTTTCAAGTGATTATATCAAATTGCATTAGAGGAGTGAGCATGACTTTTTCTCAAATTATTGACCACAGCCTTACAATTAGCAGTAGCAGAGATCATCACTGCTGTAGAAACTACCTTTGATCACTTAGTGTGTATGTACATCCCATAGTTTTTAATGTTGTATTTATTCTATATCATATTATTGTGGCATCAATACAGAAGCAAATAATACCTAAGGAACACTGTTGATGTTTGATTATGCAACTGCTTTATGCTAAAAAATTGAAGCAGGTTAAGAGATGCCAGACTAAATAAAATATTAATTTGTGAGTTTTGCGGGACAAGAAAATGATATTAATGCATTATTTGTAATCAATGTGAGAGTAACCTATAAATTGTTTGATCCTAAGATGTTATTTCTAGAATTTAATTGTTATTTTTAGTTACAGATATGGGACACAGCTGGCCAAGAAAGATTTCGTACCATAACCCAGAGCTACTACAGATCTGCAAATGGGGTTATAATGGGTAGGTGATTTTTAATACAAGTTGTTGCTGAATATAGGTGGATAAGTACTATTTAAGATATATATATTCAATATATATAATATATATTCAGGTATAGATTCAGATACACTTGATGAATCAAGTCTAGCCTGTATGGTTTTGTCTTTTACATCATACCATTGGTGTCTTTTCAAGCTTTCAATTTCCTATTCTCACCTTAAATTGGTAACCAATGGTAATGATCATTGTTTTTGTTCTTCAATTGTAGTCTAGACAAACTTTCAACTACTGGTATTTCTTGACAGCCACAGCCAGTGCCATAAACACAGGTAAATGTTGGTTTATATGAATATTTTAACCTATGATCATTTCCTATTGCCATAAACAATTAAACAAAGCATTCCAACTCCCAATGTTTTTTGACAATGTACTGTTATACCTGCTTTAGAGTGGAGCCCAACAAATTTGGGAAATTCATTACATGACTATGAATTTTGTGGATGCCAGTCTAATAAGTTCCTTTCAGAGGAGTTTCCAATCAAACAATTTTCAGAACTGCTACAATGACATTGAAAAATTGCTGGGAAAAAAAAGTATATATTTATGAATAATATTGAATTTAGTTTTCAATTTTTTAAGGTTGACTTGGAATATTGAGGTGATACTGCAGAATAAATGTTTAATATTTTATTATTAATTAGTGAAACACAATGGCTGTTTAATCCACACACACATATTATGGCAATTTGCAAGTTCCCCACTTAGACCCAGCTGGACTGGAGACATACCGGTATATACAGACTGTGTGTCCTGCAGGGTTGGTGATTTTTTTTATTTTTTCATGATTTTTTTGATTTATTTGATTTTTTTTCAGTCTTTTTGTTTTTTTTTTTGAAGTGTTATTTTTTTATGTTGCAATTAGCCTACTAACAATAACAGTATATGGATCATAATGGATGGCTAAAAAGGGCACTTATTGCCTTCAATAATGGCCAACAGGCCAAGGTGGTGTTTACCACTTTGGGACTTTTAGGTTAACAGTTATTGATAAGTCTATTCATTAGCTTTGTAAAGTTTGTATGGAGAAAGGTAATGAGCTAAATATTGACCATTTAACTGGCTTCAATATACAAAAACACTTCAGGAATGCAGATCTTCTAAACATTGAAGAGTCACATAACAGATAGGTAGCTGATAGCACAGTGTCATTTAATTCAGACCAATAAACCAATACTAAACATGAACTGAATGATAACCAAATAAACCTCATACGACTTGAAACAAGACTTAAGTTATGAGAAAAGCTAACACTTTGAAATAAACATGTGCACAATTCAAATATTTTATATCCATTCACTGCATTTAATTATTTTATATATAGTCTTATAATTGTAATTGTTTTGTTTCTAGTTTTAAATTCACATATTTAAAGATTGAAATTAGATATTTTAATTAGAATAATTGTATTAGGGTGGAAAATATTTCTAATTGCCTAAAAGGTCAATACAATCTCAACCTCTCAATATACAGGGTGGGGCAGAACCGATTGAGCAGTTTTGAGGCGAAATAAGAGTAATGGAGGTACATAAAGAAGAAAGTTTATTTTCCTAGAGGTTTGCATAACATACCATTTAGAATACATATGTTTTGAAAACAATATCTGGAAGATGGCGGCCATTAGCTGCAACACATTGTTGGAGTTGTTCTCAGAGGAGGGAGTAACCGTAACAGTGAATTCCGATCGCTATGCTGGAATGTTGCAAAATTTCTTGCAGCCCATGATGGAAAACATTGTTGAAAATGAAGCATTGGGAGACGTGTGGTTCCAGCAGTATGGGGCTACAGCTCACACAGACCGAATGTCACTCAATGTTTTGAAACGCATGTTTCCCGGACGTCTGGTGTCTCTGAGGGGTGATTTACAGTGGCCTGCGAGGTCACCTGATTTGAGCATTTGCGATTTCTTTCTTTGGGGACATCTAAAAGAAAGAAAGGGGTTCAGAAGTCGCCCTCACACCCTACCACAGCTAAGGGAATGGATTATTGCAGCAGAGCTTATGGCCATACCTCGCCATATGTGTGAACGTGCTGTAGAAAATTTCCGAGAACGACTCCAACAGTGTGATGCAGCTAACAAACCCCATCTTCCTGATATTAATTTCAAAACATTAGTATTTTAAATGGTATGTTATGCTTATCTAGAGGAAAATAAACTTTCTTCTTTATGTACCTCCGTTACTTGTTTATTTTGCCTCAAAACTGTTCAATCAGTTCTGCCCCACCCTGTATAAGCTAGCTAGCACATTTAAATTGTATAATGTAATTAATATATAACAAATAGTCCAATAGTTAGTTAAAGACTACTTATAGCCTTATAAGAATTAGCTAAGCTGCTAGCTATGTACAATGTATTGCACACTTGATGCCTCTATACCAAAAACATTCAATTTATTGGATCCTAATACACACTAAAGGCAACAAGTTTATATACCAATTTGTCATTCATAGTACCTACATTTATACTAAACCATGAATAACAATGCCTCAATATAAATTAGAGACTGCCACTCAATATATTTAAATATATGAAAAAATAGAAAAAATCATGATCTTTTTATAAAAAAATCAAGTGATTTAATCACATGATTTAATCATTGCCAACCCTGGTGTCCTGTGTTGCTGCCTTGCTGGTGGTTATTTTATTGTACTCCATTATTGTCTTAATGTTGTTTAGCATTTGTATTTCATCTTTTGTTTTGTGGAATCTTTATAAACAAATATTTCATTTTACAAAGAGATGATGGGTACCATGTTGATTTTAAATTGTAACTAAAATTTTATGCTGCTGGTTCCTAGCGCGTCCATAGGGAAAACAAGTCCTGCTATTGAGATTTGGTCATTTACTGAATCTTGCATCATTTGTGAATGTTCTCAACATACCAAAATGTTTAGAAATATGTTTTGTTTGTGCATGAATATGGAAATAATAGCTTTTGAAAGGTTCTAGCCAAGCAGCAAAATAGTGTCATGTACATAACTGCTTAATACAAAAAAAAAAAGGGATAGGTAGGCAATCAACAAGTCTTACTGAAATGTAAAAATGTTGACTATGATAAATTCCAAGCCCTAACTAAGAAAAAACTGCTGTGCTTGAATTCATCAAAGTTGAGTCACGATTATGATGGGGAACGGCTGTAGAGTTTGTCATGTTGAACAAACACATGACAGGCATTGTAGCTGTACATTGTGCATTTTTGTCTTTTTCTCTGTATAAGTTCTGTATTTCCCTTTAACTCCTTATATATTTTATCTGGAGATGGTTATAGTCTATTATCAAGTTTGTGTTGCCATCCTGTGCCAAGAATTTATTACATACACTGCATAAGACTTATTCTACAGTTCTGGTCCAATAATAATTTACAAATGAAGTTTTTATTGGAACATGTTAATTAAGTCAACTTCTTCACTCATCAGAATTTCACCGTAATTGGAAAAAAGTAGTAGATGCCTTTGTCATTCCTGTGCATGGTGTAGCTAGAAATGATGGTACCCTATATCTTACGCATTTACCATGTACGTTCTTTCCATTTTTTTCAACCTGTAATTTTTTAATGCTAGGTTCTGTGAAACCCCTTCTTATGAATGCAATGAACAATTCAAGTTTGTGGCTACGATTTGTGAAAACTTTCTTCCCTGTTGCATTTACCCTGTTGTAAAGACCATTTTCTCATTATATTTTCCTTAGTCTCTAGCCATTTTATCTCTTCATGTCCATTCAGGAGTGTCATCTCACAACTAAAGCATTTTACTATGTCAGACAGAGTTAATTTTCTTCATGTTGAAATTGTGCATCATGAATTGGGCTTTTATTTTTTAATCTCTTCCTGTACCATAACAGATTTTTGTCATCTTGATTGCAGACTGGAATAGATTTGTATGTATAGGTATCACTGCAGGCAGATTAATCTATTCAGTATTCTTTTTATGGATTAGCTCTGTTCATAGAAGGAGAAATAGAAATCTTGAAGCCAATAACTACTTTGTCCGACAAATAAATGTCTAAATAATTTGATTTTCTCTCCTGCCCAGTTTACGACATCACAAAGAGGTCATCATTTCTGAGTATCCAGAGATGGATGGAGGAAGTTAAACGTTACACACATCCTCAAGTTGCTTTAATACTCATAGGTAAGAACCATATTATTGCTGGTAAACAATAGGTAGGTATGGCTTTAGTAATCGAGATGACTAGGCTACTTACCTGTCCAAAGTGATCTCTGAGATTTTTGAAGGTGAGAAAAATGTATTTATGCACTTGAAAGACTGGCTCCAACAATCTACTCATTATTTCACTCCAATATGATCACATGTATAAATAAAACAAATAAAAAAAACTTTTAAAAACCATATTTTCTTAAGAGACAAAAAAGAAAAACATCAACTCTTACACAACATTACATAACATTCTACATAACTTTAATGTTATGTAAGAGTTAATGTTTTTCTTTTTTGTCCGTTAAGAAAACGTGTTTTTTAAAAGTTTTTTTTTATTTCTTTTATTTCATTGTTTTTAGTTTTGTAACCGCCAGAGAAAGGTGGTCTTTAAAAATGTTTTTTTATATTTATTTATTCTCTACTTTTTAGTTTAGCAATTTTGACAATTCAAATCAATTTCCAGGGTTGGGAACTCTGAATGTTCAAATAAAAACAATCGATTCCCAACCCTGAATTTTTAGTGTTTTTTTTATTAAAAAACATTAAAATGTGGTAAAAAAAATTTAAAAGCCACATTTTCTTAACAGACAAAAAAAAGAAAAACATTAACTCTTACATAACATTGTAGAATGTTATGTAAGAGTTAATGTTTTTCTTTTTTGTCCATTAAGAAAACATGGTTTTTAAAAGTTTTTTTATTAGTTTTATTTCATTGTTTTTAATTTTGTAATCACCAGAAAATCGTGGTTTTTTAAAATGTTTTTTATATATACTTATTTTCTACTTTTTAGTTTAGTAATTCAAATCATTTTCCAGGGTTGGCAACTCTGGATGTTCAAAAAAAAAAACTCGATTCCCAAACATGAATTTTTAGGGTTTTTAAATTTTTTTTTTAAGTTATTACTTCTGATGATCAAATCTTGAATTGTTAGGCAGCATAAGCATGCATGCCAAATTTCAAGTTGCTCGGATCTTCAGAAGTGCTCTAAATTAAGGTTTGAATTTTTGATAACAGACAGACGGACACGAAGCAAAAATAAGAAAAACGTGGTAATGACACTAGAGTATTCAGTGCATTGATGCATTTATATAGTTGATCATTCATGTTGCTATGCCCTTGAATATAACGTTACCATTCACTTTTTTCCAGTGATTTTTTAAATTATGAACCAAAATTATATATGCGTACGTATTAAGGTTCTTATTGCTAGGCTCAATAAAGTTGCATTAATGCCCTCACCCCCGCAACAGTCCTAGGGCAGATGCGATAGGTTTTGAGCTGGAATGTAGTTGTTTCTTGCCAGTCCTGCAATGCAATTTTCACTTTTTCTCTCTGAAATAGCTTGGTTTTTACTGATCTTGTCACTGTCTTGTCTCCTCATTGTAACATTACCTTTAGAGCCATACAAAACCTCCCTTAGCATAGACATATGTCATTATGTTCATGCCTATTTGTGAGCTTCAATGAGTCTGAATGTGGTTTATAATAAAGAACTACATTTAATAATTTTGAATCAATATTTTAATCACCATCGCGACCAGTTAATTTGTTATTTGGCCGTTGACAGTCACCAGTGGAGACTTGGTCTTAAGGTGCTCATGCTTGATTCTTGGTACTTCACATACATACACCTCTAAAATGAGCAGCTCTTTAGTTGAACTAGTAACTCTTGAATAAGACAAATTTTTTATTGAATATGATAAATATCAAGTGACATGGACACATGGTTAATTTAGACTATTTGGAATACGTGCTCAGAGACAGTATTCATGTAGCCAAATTTTGAGCAATGGATTCTTCTTAGATTCTGTCCTATCTCTAATAACCAACTATAAAACTTATGATTAAACCATTTATGAGATTGTACAAAGCTTGACTGGTTGATCAAATTCACTTTCTGAGGCTTGATGAAGTATACCGGTACTATATTGCTGTGCAAGCTTCAGACCTGTGCCAGAATTTTGGCACTGTTCATTGATGCCTCAACATTGAACAACCTTCCTTCCCGAGAATGGTAATTGCCCAGGTTTTCTTTCACATGCATTCAGGAAATGATAAAGTCGACCAAAGCTACAGGATATCTTTTTATTTACTTAGGTGTAAAGATTGTAATTCGTTCAGGAAACAAAAGTGACATGGAGCGACTAAGGGAGGTGGAAAAGGCTGAAGTGCAGCGCCTGGTGGAGATGTGGGCCTTGGATGACAATTCGATGGTGCACAGCCTTGAGGTTTCTGCCAAAGAGAACACAAATATTGATGAAACATTCATGCTGCTTGCTCAAAAATTAAAGGTATGCTTTCGTAATTGTAGTTGCTTCGATTATTCATTGTAATTATGTAGGTTCAGGTGTTAATACATTATTTGCATGTTGCATGGTGTGTCTGGGTCATAATTGTCTCAAATTAAATAAACAGTTTTTTTTTAATAGCGTCAGTTATTTTAATGCTAAAACTAAGGCAATAAATGTTCAGAATAACTACCTATACTACTTTAAAAGGATTTTCCTGTTTCTATAATAAGTTTTGTACAAATTCTTTCTCGGCATTTATGGAATTATTTACAGTAAAATATGCTATGAATTTATTCACTTTGCTTCACCGAGTATCTTGGTTCTAGTGCGATGTTTGAATTTCAGAATTTTTAGGCCAAACATAGAGCCTTCTCATAGCTCCTGGTAGCTTTTCTACAAGCTTGTCAGTTCAACCCTTAGCTTCACTTTTAGGAACGGACTATAAAATATGAAGTTTGCATAATTTGAATTTATGTACAGATTTCTCCGTGAGCTCTCGCCAGCCTCGTGCTGCCTCTCCCCTCATGCACTCTTTGCACGACTGCTGGTCTATGGTGCTTCTATGAAAGCTCTTCTAACATTTCTCCTTCTGAAAATCTAACGAAACATTGAAACGCTGATGACCAATCAGGCGATTAAGTGACTTGCTGTCAAGATGTTTGGGTCTCTAGAACCACACTCTGCGACTGCGTGAGTCATACTTGCTCTTTTTTACTGTTATGTGTTACACCGTTTGCACTATTACTAAATATTACCTACATATATATTCTAAATCTTTATGATTGTGTTTACTCTGATCCTTGCATGCCTTGTGAGCTCATTTTCCTGTTCCATCTTTTCTTTAATTAAGTTATAACCGTCATTTTGAGCACATTTCCGACATTTCTCTATTCGAATGTTGCTGTTTTTCAATATCATGTAAATAGTTCAGGTGTGACTTTCCAAAATACGTATCTATTTGAGCAAACATGGCATACTTTGCTATCTATATTTTAGACATGAGCCATGTATATATTGGCTTTGATACCAAATGTTCTGGCGTGGCACGTTCGAAGCGTATATTGAATACCTACATCTGTCATTTAAAATAATTTCCAATTCCAAATATAAAATTTGCTTGTTTTCGTTGACTTTGATAATTGTTAATAATTGATTGAGACAAATTTTTCCAGGCTGGCCATGACAGCAGTCGGGAGTTGTCAGCTGCTGATCACATCTGCCTGACCGGCAGCAAGAGCGTCACGTCACCGTGGCAGCGCTGCTCGTCTCTGTCCTGTTACCGGTAGCTGCTGCTGTTACCGGTTACCGTCGTGTCTTCATACAAGCAGTTGAAATACCATGTGTCATCCTGTGACCCGAGATCGATGTTCAGTCAATAAATAATAAGCTAGCAGTGAAATGAATAGCTTGATCGACGAGAACGTGGACACTAATCTTGATGTCAGTATACGAATATTGGTTTGTGGTCGTTCATGATAAAAGAAATTCCCCGGTTGATGTAGGAGATTTTTAGGGTGCTATTTTCCCTCAGGGGGACTTCTGACGCGTGTCTGTGCTCGTCAGAAGTCCTATGGGGATTGTTCCTGAGCGCCCCACCGCTGAGCTCGCGGTATCTGACTGCAGATCTCAGTTGTGGGGTTAAGTTATTATGTAGGTAGGATGCCTTACATTTCCCTTCTCTGTCTCTCTCTAGTCTCTCGTACGGGCGGCCAACGTCCCGTGTAAGCGATCTCTCGTTCGAGTGTCTTAGTTTCTGTTGCTTTCCACCTGTCCCTCCTTGTCACTTCCGTCTCTTTGAGATGCTAACGCTGCTTCTTTCGAGCCAGCTTCAGCGGGCTGGACATCTGAGACCTTCCGCCCCTTGTGAATAATGATTAATTTGAGACTGAATAATCGAGACCTTCCGCCTCGCTGGCGATGTTAACTTTTGACCTCCGACGCGAAATAGCTTGATAGCTGAAGCGCTAGTAAACCATTCTACTACTTGCTTACTTAGGGTGCTATTCTTATTAAATAATCGTTTCCAATGAAAGAAGAAAAAGCAATGTTTGACTTTATTTTGTCATTAGATAACCTCTTTTAGGTAAGATCGTCTTCAAGAAATCTATTTTACAATGCGCTGCACTCTGCAGGACAGATTTCTATCACTGCTTCTGCTGATAGTTACCTCAATCCTGCATGTGAGCTTTGTGTCCTCAGCTACTGACGGCAGCCCCGGACAACTTTCAGTCTCTGCCAAAGTTCTGCAATCTGTATTGACTGTACACGTACTGACAGGTGCGATCGTCACTGACCATGCGATGAGGTTTATCCTAATATCGTCTACATTGGAACCTCAAATAAATGCTGCTTAACTAGGTTTCAACTTTGGAAATATTTACAGTACAAACTTGGTTTCCGAACTCACCATGTGATCATCCTTGACAGTTCTGCCCGGACCCTAGCATAATATCGTACATTATATTATGCTCTTCCGTGTGGAAAGAGGGAGCTGTGGACCTCCTTTTGAGGGTCAGAAGAGATGTAATGTGTCACAATGTATGTAATTAATCTAATATCGGATCCTTATCTTCCCGTAACAATGGGATATGTAATGATTCATTTTTCTTTTAAGTAATGTATCGTTTCAAGTGAGCACTTTCAATCGATGAAGTTTGGGTTCAAAAGATCCCTCTCAATTGTCTAAAAGGAACGCAATGAAAGTATCTCCTGGAATATCCAAATATATTGATGAAGGTTAAGTTGTCCTTGATTGCACGAGATTGCAGCTCAATCCTTTGATGTAAATATTACAGAAAGTTTTAGCGAACACAACAAACTCTTAACGGTGACGAATATCACCAGCTCCGGAGGTAAGTCCAGAGCAGCCGTTCACGTTACACAGAGGCAGTGGTTTTTGCATTAAGCTATTTGTGCTGCTGACGAAATACTTTCAGAGATACCAGGGTGTAAAAGACCATAGCACCAAGGTCATGAGATGATGAATATCCCTTTATGTCACTCTGTCAACCAGGCAATAAGACTTCTTGAACTGAATTGTCTACAGAACTTATTTATTTTGCCGTATTTCTTGGTAAAAAATACTGGCTCTAAAAATGCCCACAATTGCAGCTGACTAGCTTACTCTGAAGTGAATATAAAATTGCGTTAAATTACAGCAGTTAAATGATCAGTTCAATTGATTCCATGAAGAGTATACCATTCCAAAGTGTGTGAGTGCATTATTTCGGGACTGATGAGGCATCGAAAAAAAATAAAGGGAAAGGTTGCGAGAATTACAGACGTAGATGGCTCTTCCTAATGACGATGAAAATACATTCGAAGTGTAATGCTTTCATATCAGTACATTCTAATTTCGTTTCGTTTCGAATTTCGTAAAAACTCGATGACAGGCAGAATATATCTTGGATGAAGTCAAGCGGCAACTTACGCCCCCAGAACGCTATTAGTTCTTAACCTGCTGAACTTTATTGAAACCATTCCTGTATTTTATCCAAATTACACAGACAGCAATAAGTATCCTTAGTCCTAACATTAAACATAGTATTGTAATAATAGTCATGGGATTTCACGAGTTGACTTCATCGTTATACAAAATTTAACCATGCTGAAGGTGACTTAATTAGAAGCGTTCTACATGTAAAATTAGACTCGAACCTCAATTGACTGAACTTCGTTCTCATTGATATGATTACAAGCACAGCTTGATGAAGCTTTCTGGTAGTCGGAATATTAAACGAAATAATGCACATAAATTTAACTGTGGCTCACACGATCGATTATTTCATCATTTACTAGGCACTTTGGACTTAGTTGTGCACTCATGAGAAGACTATTCTCCAAGAATGTATGAAGTCAACTGAAACCTCCCATTAGAGGTAGAAACTGCCCAGTTCGATGGGCTTAAAATACATGAATGACAATAAACAGCTGAGACATCAAGTCATAGTATATATCCTGAGACCGTCCTTCCATTTTCGGTGAAATATCTCGAATTTAGCGCCTGATAGTTGAAAATGTCCGCAACGCAAATGGTTTTAGTGCAAAGAAACAATACAATGACACTTAGACCAATGAGAAACATTTTAGATGGCGAGTGACAGATGCGAAGTTCGTTAACTCGACTGAAAACTAAAGAAACAATCTGCACATTTCAATGAAATTTATTTTAGAGACTATATTTATGTATATGCGTGCGATACTTTTAAATAGCATTAAAATTCATTTCAACTTAACAAAGGAAATGGATAAATGCCACTAAAATTAATAACAAACCCGAAAAATGAAGGTTCATTCCATTGCCCAGCCTCTACCGTCAATGTCAGGTGCGTCAACCATGGCGGCCATTCAGGTCTTGATTCTTTCACATTATTTTCTCCTGCTTATGGGCATTCATCAGTGAAGACTGAAGAATCTAGTATATCCAAACCTAACACTCAAAATGTGATAGTGAACCGCAAAAAACTCCTTCTTTGGCTCCACGGCGAGCACGCAGCAGAGCAGACATTAAGATAGACTTTTCTAATGAACCCAAGAGAGCTTCGATTTCACCAGCAAAGCTGAAGGCAAATGCGCCAATACTTGTAGCAGCTGCTAATTTGTGACTTATAAGAACTGAGTGCAATTAAAGTCTATAACAATATTAATGAGGGAAATAAGCTTACTTCTATAACAGCACTGAACATCGATTACGAAAAAAAAATTGAACATCTTCGAATATTATTAATGCATAAAATACGAGTTCACCAGAACCAAAACGAGGCATTCAAACTAAGTTCTCACTCGTAATTATTTAGCCTAAAACTCAATATCTGGATCTACGCCATGACGCGAGATGAGCTGCCAAATCCTCCCGCGGAGAACAGATGATAACGATTTCTTGCTCCTAAAGTTAATACTTTGTTATAAACACACACAGAAATAACTAGTCAAATAAATTTTTCCAAAATTTCATGGAAATCATGCCGGGTAAAACAAAGTAGACCCCATTTATATCTTTGCTGACAAAGCTGTGAGGATCACAAGAAACAGCATCACTTTATCACTAGTATTCATGCACCACAAGTGAATATTGAAGATTTATCCACTCGTTCCTCTCTAAAACTCCATAGCAGGAGTTCCGTTGGCTGCCACGCACCAATCAACCAAGACAGCAATTCTAGAACTGCTCATTCCATCAGCAAGAGCGATAATTTGAAGTAAAGCTTCAATGAACAGGCACTTGAGACGCGAAGCGACACTCGCATAAACTTATTCCTAGAGAAGGTCAAACACTACATAAAAATTTCATGCCCTAAATAGCAAAAATGTTCACGAATAACGCAAGTGCAGATCACCAGCACTCAAGTACGGCACGTCGGTAGGAGTTCCATACCAAATTGCACAATGTCTTATTAAATCTATCGAATATTATAATGAAGATGTTGCTTAAAATGAACTTGTTTGAGATAATGAGAGATCATTACACAAGAATAATGATTGGCCGTCAGTATCCGCGTTTTGATATCACAGTCTGCGGTGCAATCATCAGGAGCGGCCAGCGCGATATTTTACCGACGATCATGGCCAACAATCATTGTAGAGACGTTCGCGGTTGATGTTTGCAACGCATTTTCAGTACCAAGCAGCAGAAAAATAACGCAGAATCGCGCCATATATTCCTTTTCTCTCGTTACATAGAAATAATTAACAAGGCATGACGATAATAATCGAGCCGTTGAATAAGAACACATACGGGAAGTCAGTAAGTGATTACTGAATCAAATAGATCTTGGTGCAGATACGCACGTTGACAGCTCACTACATTGGTATCACTTGCTCAGGTCGGAAGGCTTTACTCCGCCCAGCAGCTCAGTGAGCGCACAGGCCGGACACGGTGTGCACGACGCCGTTCCTTCACCTTGAGCGTCTGAAGAGCTCTTGCTGAACACCTTATTAGATTTTTCTCGCTCACTGCCATCTTTGAGCTCTACGCCGAGTTCATTAGAAACTACGATTTCATTCGTATTTTTCGGAGTAACATTTTGTAAGTTGCTTGCTGGGAGATCTGAACCGTCAACAACACCAGTGACTTCAGTGCCAACAACACCCAGGCTACGAGTGACGATGTCATCAACAGAGCGATCACTGACATCGCCACGAGTGAGATGGTCCACGGACTGCCGTTCGCTGTTCTCGTCGTCATCTTGAAGGTAGCAGGAGAGAAGCTGGCGCGCCGCGGCGCCCATTATCCCTTCCATGTTGGCGCAGGCCGCCGCCAGTTCCGGCAACTCCCGCTCCTGCAACATCATCGTAACTCAGTTTTCTTCGAGAGATACATCATGAATTCCCCAATATGGGAGCCCACAATCCGGGTGCTTTCAACTAGATGTAGAGGATACAACATTTTCCAGCCAACCTTCAGTGTTAATTAATCACTTTTATTAATATATACCCTTTTATTATTCTAGATGGTACATGGATAAGTTTCCGGACTGGAAAATTGTAGAGCCTCAGCCGCCATAACGATTCTTTACTAGAACTACTATCGAGATGAAAGCAGAAATTTTTCTGTCTAAAAGTACCGAACACAAGAATAGCCAATTCAGTCGACGAAACTGGTAATTTTAATATTTTCATCTAATGACTCATATAAATTTTAAAAAATGTATAGAACTCAACTCAGCAACTAGGGTTTAAATATCTAACTTGTAAATGCTGCCGCAAGGATGGGTTAAACGTACATCCTCATATTTAAACTAGTGATGCAGCTGCTCTATGTGACATTTCCATTGAGAACACGTGGGGTTTTCTTATAATTTTCTTAGAATTCTATAACATTCTATAACATTTTATAGTTTAGAATTCTCTTAGAACTCTAAACTATAAAATTCTTAGAATTCTAAACTATAAAATTCTTAGAATTCTAAACTATAAAATTCTTAGAATTCTAAACAAGGAATTGAGACTGAAAGGTGAGCTGAGCGACCTTAAGGTCTTCCGGGGTGAAGGCGTGCTGGCAGGAGAAGACAACGAGTGAAGGGGAGGCAGCAGCCTGCATGACAGTGTCAGCTGACACGCGCAGCACTGCAGGGTCTACTACGGTCTGCAGCAGTTGTGTCTGTGAAGACTTCGGCAGTCGCAGCTTGGGGTCTGAACAACATAACCACAATAATATAGAAACTTGATCGACTAATTTCACCACTTGGGAACTAATTAACATATTTAATTAACTTGTATATGATAATCAGGTACCAATATAAAATTTATGCAGGATTCTGCAGAAAGCGGTTGTATGATTGAGTAAAAACTCAATAGCGATCCTCGCTTTACTTGCCACTATTTACGCACACGATAAACACCTGAGTGATATCTGCTCATAGGTCACGGATGTGATATTTCCGTTAGTACGCTATATAATAATTTTAAACGCTCAAAAAAGTAAGATTCTTTGTAAACGCTTTTTGAACGCTCAAAGAAAGTAAGATCTTCATTTTTGGAAAATTTTGCATGTCTTACCTCGTGAAATTCTCTCGTTCAGAGCAGCTGTTAATTTGAGGCAGAAACTTGGGGTGAGATGCGACACCAAACTGTCATCGCCATCATCTCTGAAAAAAGGCCAGTCCTTGTTAAGTTCAAGAACGAAAAATATCACACATGATATAGCAATAATATTACTCTCATGCATCTGAAAGAAGATAGATACAAAGAATAATAACATAGATCTCACGGGTTTCCTCCAGTGCATGAACATAGCCGTGTCATCGGACGTCGGTGTAACTTTTCGATGTTGTCATACGGTCACGAGCTATACGGTTAAACGCCGGTTACTATCTTGTTACAAATGAAAATTTGAATAAAGTTTCTGTCGCTGGTACTTTATTGCACTTGGTTCCTATTGTTCAATAAAACTACAGTTAACATGGATAAAACAAAAATTTTATTCTCAATAAAGAACTGTTTAAAAAGAGGCACGTTTACTATTTAAAAACCAGCGTTACAACAGATTCCTGGTTAATATACAGTTTAATGAATATTTCACGGCACAGCCACCAGATCTAGCAGCTACAAGATCGCGCGTGAGTCGGCAAAGCAGAGCGAGCTTTGGTGCTACCTCACAGTAGGGCTAGCAGGACACGACTAACGACTCACAGCCGCTCAGATCTGACCTGTCACGACATCACTATTGCTGCAGTAACGTCAGCCTCAGACGTTACTTAGGCGGCTACGCCAGACGTGGCTGTACAATTATACTTTCGGTATCCACGTTAACCAGATGGCCTAAAACGGCCAAGTCCGCGGACAAAAAGGTCTATAATTCAATATGTACTAGTATATTTGTATATTCCGGTGCGAAAATTTAATTTTCGTTTTTTTTTTGTATTTTTTAAATTTAATGAGGTGGTACTGCTATTCTTACCGGCCAACGCAATATGAAAAAAAAACTAAATCGCGGAGTTGGTCCAGAATAAATATCCTGCAACCCACCGATAGGTCATGCCGCGCTTAACGTGTTAACAAATGCACATGAGATTATCAATAGAATGCTGGTATTAAATGACTGGTACCAGTGAACGATCACCATCATTCACAGCCGAAGAGGAAAGACGTTTAAAACTGAGCAACGGAATGCAACGAGATCATTATGCTCGCAGACTCACCATCATCATTAGCTCTGTACAAATATCGAGGGAAAAATTTATGAATAAACTATTAAAATGCCCGACATTACCTTCGACTTAAATTCCATGCAACCACTTTCTCCACTGGAAAATATAAACAAAAAACTATTACTGAAGTACCAAATAGCGGACGCAAGACACTCAACTTAATACGCTAGAAGTGATGCGTTCCATACAATTAAATAAATTTGATGCTACGTTTTTTACTTGAGAATCGCAACAGCAAGATTAGGCAGCAGGGCAGGGAAGTGCAGTAGCAGGAGTTCTTCCAGCAGCCCCAGAGGCCGCCCGCGCTGCTGGAAGTACAGCAATGCGGACTCAGCAGCGGGAGCTACAGCAGCTACATCGCCGCCGTCGCCGTAGAGATCGTCTAGGTAAGTCTGCACCACCTACGAGGCAAGGAGCTCGGTAAAGTCCATTGGAAATTTTAACGGCATGTAAATCAATGGTCAGTGAAATGAATCAATAATGAATTTAAAATAATAGCAAGTAAATTACAAATAGAATGCTAAATTGAGACATAAAGATTAGACGATGCCGGTTGTACATTTCAGCCCAAGGCTGCATTAATAATGATCAACTGGAAATTTTATTATTTGATCATTAATAATCCTCATGCCAAGATCGTGACCTGTTCACTACCACAAAATAAGTCACAATTCAGGGACAGAGCGACGAACGCCACTAACCTGCAGCGCGACCTTGTCGCGGTCTCCACACTCATCCTCAGAGTCCGTGGAAAAAACTGCACCCAGATGGCACTGCATGGCTGAAGCGTGGTCCAGCTGAGCACAGAAAACAGCACCAGCTGCCTGGTGTGCCCCAGCTGCTTTGAGCTGGTCCACCACGTCAGTGGGGTCGTAGTGCTGGTGTAAGTTCAGCAGAGCGCGCTGCAAAATTTCAGCTCCGTAAGCTGCAGGAGAAGGGCTGCCGCTGGTGAGGGCAACGTCTTCAGAGAAGCGCAGCTCTCGTAACCATCGCTCCAGCTGAGTAGTCGAACAAATCAAGTATTAGCTTACGTCAAGCTTCATGTTCATAATAATTTAGTTTGAGCAAGCCAACAAATCTACATAGGGAAAATCAAATCCAGAATGTTCTAATCGTATCCGGATTATCACAGGATGCTGAACGATCTTATCATCTCGGAGATGGTGGAAATGAACAGCTATAGACATTCTCAAATCCTTCGCCACTAGAACTGCATAAATAGAAGTAGAATTTGAAGCATGTATGAATAAATCTTAGAACAAATGGAACAGACATTACATTTAAAAAGTTTCTCAAGGAAGGAACTTGAAGGATAAAAAGCTGCAAATCTGGTCACCTGCAGCGAGGTGCGCATGTCCTCCTCGAGCGGCATCTCGGGGGCAACTGACGGTAGTCCGGGCACCGGGCGAGGCACCTCCACGTTGGAGTGAACGCTGTGGGGAACCTGCGAAGCCTTCATAGTTGTAGTGTGGTCATGATCAAAATAAGAATAATAGCAGATATACCGTAAAGGAAATGGTTGATAGAAAATATGTACCTGAGTACGAGGTAGAAATTAATAATAATTAACATGAGTTTTCTTTCATAACGAAAGGTTCTCGATACAGTGAACAGTGGCCAAGCTTCCAGTGAACTCTTAAACATGAAGCAATTTCTGTATGAAATAAAGACGCAGCAACCTTAAGATATTATCAAGTGTTTAACATGAAATATATCCAGTTCTGCGTCATATATAATACGCTCTAAAGAAGCATGAATAACAGACTTTGTGCGCTCGCAAAGTTATGCAACCTCTATTATCCCAACAACATCCAGACCGTAAGACTCGCCCCACTCCAGGAATCACCTTGAGTATCCTCTTAGCCGTCTTGAGGGTGAAGACGCGCACAGGCTGTCCCTTATCTCCGCCAGCACCTTTAGCAGCCATGCCGCCCAGCTGCGCATAGTTCAGAAATTGAGAGAAAATTGTGTTACGAACTTTAAGCCTGACATTCGTGATTCTTTAGCAGCCATGCCGCCCAGCTGCGCACGGTAATGCCGAGAAATAGTGTTGAGAATTTCACGCCAGACATTCGTGATTCTTACATATATTTGATACATAACTTGCGATGAACTATTAAAAAGACTTCTTACAGTAAATATTTGGATCCTCAACATTTCATAGCCCGATCGAGCTCACATGTACACATTATACGTAACATGTGCGAGTTTGCGTATATACATATTAATCAATCGTATATTTGTGGGTGTGCTTCAGTTAGTTAGAAGAGCGGCTGAAACATCGTCGTCATGTATCGGCTGCTCTTAGGACATCAGCTGTGGAGTTGAAATCCTCGCAATTTATTCGACTGGCACATCACGCATTCGCATCGTGTTGCTGCTGTCATGAATAAAAATTTCGTCGTGGTTCTACCTGCTACTTGTCACACACACAACCTCCTAAGCAACACCATTAAATTAACTAAGTATATATATATTACTTTTTGAATAACAGGTTGTTTGCATGGAGCCTAGCATTGGAAATATTCAGAGGCTATTACAGCGCAAGTCCACAATACTGATCGTGTTGGAATATCGCAGAGAACTTGGTGGACGGAATCACCATATTGGAAGGCTCAAGGCTCAAAATTTTGAATCCAATATTAGATTGCCAAAATGGCTTGCTATCTTTTAAGCAGTAATGGATGGCCTTTCCTCTGCAACACAGAGTTCACAGTCTAGTACCTCATACGTCGTCAAAAACATCAACTGATTTGAAATTCAATTGCCCATCATTATGAAGAGACGATGATATTTGCAATATTATTAATAAGTTAGACGTATGAGGTACTAGTACTGAAAAAAGCAGCAGAGAATGTTTCACTCTTCTTTTCATTAGTTTACCAATTCATTCTAACAAATCGCTCAATATTCTACAACAAAAACGACCACAGCAAGAGAGAACAATTAGTTTATCATGACAAAGAATAGACGACATTCGTCCTCGATAGTTACTTACAACTGGATCTCGACATGAAAACCATATTGACATGACAGATTAAAAGCCGAAAGCAAAAGTCAGGTAAGGTGATTCAAACTGACGGAAAATTTATACAGCGCTCCCACTCGGATAACGCATACTGACGATGGGCAGACCTCCGTGATAGTTATCAAATAATTCATATTTTCGAAAAGATTCTCTTACTACTTGGTCGTTACCTGCGAGTGAAAATTAGATCCAAACCCCCAGACTTGGCCGCTGTCGTCAGCGACCAGGGTACAGTCGGCGCCACAAGCGACGGCGGTGACGACGAGCTCCTTCATCACGGCCGTGGGGCGCGGGCTCTCCTGTCGGTTGCCCGTGCCTGCAACCGACATAAATATTAACTAATTTGCAATCATATTGCCAATTTATTGAAATTAGAGAGGATCGTATGTATAGTTTAATTAATACGCTAGACAGACTTATTCCAAACCCCAGCGACAAATTAAACAATTGCACAAAAGAAGAGCGGGAGAATTTCGGTATATTTGCATTAAAATTTAATATGAGATCATAAATAAAAATGAAGTAAAGGTAACAGAAACTAATAATTTTAACGAGAAATAAATCAATCTACGGAGGGAATTCTACATTAAAACAAAATTTTCGATCTTAATGATGTCAACAAATAAAATAAAAACAAGGTATATAATTGAAATGCACATTTCATTTGGTCGTAAAAAAAATACTAAACAGTTACATGCGTATCGTCGTCGGAGGAAAAATTAATTATTTTGATTCAGAAGATAATAAGTCGCCAAGACTTTTTTCTAAAACTACCAGTTGACCGTGGATTCGTCCACACCTACACGGTGCTCAGCTTACTCCAAACTGTAAATTTGGACAAATATTTATTTATGATTCATGATACTGAGAATAATAATTCAGTAAATAATACACGAGAATCTTGACAGTATCGCGCCTCACCGAGCTGGCCGCAGAGGTTACGTCCCCACGTGTAGAGTTCTCCTCGAGTCGTGAGCAGCGCTGAGTGCTGAGCCCCAGCACTAAGGTTCTTACATTCACCCCAGTTGGGGGGCATGGGCACGAGGGTGGGAAGAAGGTGGGCCATGTCCTCAGGGTCACACGAAGGGACAGTGTTGCTAGAACTAACTTCTCCCACGCGCCATAACCTGCCGTGTTTCTCAGAAGATAATTTCGAACCATTTATAGGTGAATGAACTGTAGCTTCATCCTTGACACAAAGCACATCATTGCAAGAGCGATCGCTGGTATTGGCATCTACATCGGGCGAGTCTTGAATTCCACTTCCTGCAGGAGATTCACTCTTTTCCGATGGTTTAATGCCCGAGGGTTTCAAATTTAACGGTGGGATTTGTCGAGCTTGCTGACCATGAGCGCCCGGCACAGAACCGTTGGGAGCGGCATGAGCACACAGGACCAGATTCGATAGACCAGTTGACTTGTTATCCACAGTTTTGTCAAGTCCTTGGGTATCAGTGCAGGTTTTCGGAACAGTTTCACCGTTTTTCTGTCCTTCTGCAGCATCCTCTTGAGTCTTAGCTGCTCGTGACCGTCGCTGGATATGAGCCTGAACTTTTAAAGCGGTTGGATTGCATCCCCAGAACCAAATTTCTCCCTCAGTCGTGACACACAAGTTGTGGAAGTAGCCAGCAGCGAGATGGGTGACTGGCGCAGGCAATGATACTCCCTTAGGGGAGGTAATCTTGTCGAGGTTACCGGTGCCGCACTGGCCGTACACGCTGCAGCCCCACGCATACACGCAACCTTTGTCGTCCACACACACCGAGTGCGCGTAGCCCGCAGCGATGCCCACGACATGCCTCTTGCGCAGCGCCGTCACAAGCGAGGGTTTGTTGCGGTCCTCGACGTCGCCGTGGCCCAGCTGACCATGCACACCCCAGCCCCACGACAAGACCCTGCCACTTGACGTGAGCGCGAGCGAGTGGTATTGACCACACGCCAGGGCGGTGACCGAGGACTGCAACAAGGCAGGGGCGCACAGCAACACAGGACGCAGGACGCTGCCCGGGCATCCTGTGCCCACTTCCCCGTACGTATTGCTGCCCCAGCCGTACACTCCTGACGTAGTGAGGGCAAGCATGTGGCTCCTGCCGCACGCCACAGCCACGACCGACTTGTGGGCCAAGCCCTCGACCAGAAGAGGTTCCATCAACTCCTCGCAGGCCGCGGCGCCTCCTACAGCCGCTGCAGGAGCGTCGTCAGGAGCGTGGCGCGGCGATAAAGGCGAGCTGTCGCACACTGGCCCGTCAGGTTCGTTCAGGGCCTGAATAAATGCAAGACAAGTCTCAGAGATTACATATTTTCCGCTAGTTTCAAAACATTACTTCGAAGACACCATGTTGTCTTGGTATTACGATGTGTAATAAATTCTTTGAGACAACCCCCAAAGAAAGTGCTTCCAAAACATTGAATACAAAAGTACCCAAGTCTCATTATTAGAACATATAAAATTTAGACTCAGCAGTATTACTTCATACAAGAAAATAGGGTTTGCTCTCAGACTGATAACTTTAAAATTTTCTCTTAGGGTCAACACGTTAGCCAAGCCGGTGTCTGTCAAACCTGAATTACGAAAATCAATTAAACAGCCCATGCAGAACAACTCCACTAACTTCATCTTCGTATATGTCAACAGAAAACCACGACAGAAAGAAATTATCGCTGCTGCATCGTTGCAGTGAAATGGATAGAGATGCCGGTAATTGTCCGCCTAATTGCGGCACAAGCTACCGAATTTCAGGCTGCCGTGCCTGGTAGGGAGAGAAGTGAAGGTGAGGGGGGCAGTCGAGCAGATCACAGATGTCACTCCAGAATGTGTTATGGTGAGAGTGGACAAGATGAGTGTATGGTATGGTGAGTGTGTTATGATGAGTGGACAAGGTTACCTTAATTTCAGCCATGAGTGGGGAAGGTTACCTTAATTTCAGCCATGAGTGGGGAAGGTTACTTTAATTTCAGCCAAGAATGGACAATGTTACCTTAATTTCAGCCATGAGTGGACAAGGTTACCTTCATTTCAGCCATGAGGTGACAAGGTTACCTTCATGTCAGGCATGAGTGGGGAATGTTACCTTAATTTCAGCCATGAATGGGGAAGGTTACCTTAATTTCAGCGATGAGTGGGAAAGGCTACCTTAATTTCAGCCATGAGTGGGCAAGGTTACCTTAATTTCAGCCATGAGTGGGGAAGGCTTCAGCTGGGGTCGTAGATGAGCGTCAGCATTGTTGTCATCCCCAGCAGGTATGCGGCGCGGTGTGAGCCCCAACCCCAGCACCCCTCCTTTAGCAGCTCCCCAACAGTAGAGGCGGCCATTGAACGCGGCCGCGCTGCTGCTGAAGCCGCAGCACAGCAAGAGCTTTCCTCTCGGCAAGAGATCACCTCCCGCAATCGCGTGACTAGGCTGAGAGAAGGAAAAAGCTTATAATAACAAGGATATTTGCAAGTTGAAAACCGCTACATTTTTCAAGATTATTTCAAAGTATAGCTTTACTAACTTCAAAAACACGGCTAAGTACTGAAACTCATATGTTTCATCGTGTATAATATTTCTGTATTTGATTTTCTCACCATAGCCGGCGCAGGCAGAGCGGTGACGAAGTCAATTGCAAACCGCCAGCCGCGCAACGCGTTGATGCGTATCAGCAAACTCAGGAACAAGTGAACGACGTGGCGCAATGAGGGAGGTCCCTGCTCAGCCTCCAGGTGGCAGTGCTGTGTGTAGGGGCAGGACGTGTAGACCTGAGGACTTGCGAGGAAGGCGGCGAGGGAAGGGTGGCTGGGGTCGTAGAGAGAAGCTAGTCTCAGGAGAAGAGGAAGGGACAGGGAAGGTAGGAGTTGCAGAGACTTGTTGTAGTGCTTCCAAGCAAGACGATGCTTTAGCATAAGCACATTCCTGAGCATGGGGTCAGTGAGGCAGTGAAGATAGCCGGTCTCCTGATCACGATCCACGAAGCAACTCACTGTTAAGTTCTCTTCAAAAGGCGTGCTGCAATTCCAAGGGTTGTCGGACTTGCGACTTATCAGCGGCAACGTACAGTTGTCTAGCAAGACACAAAGTTTTTCTAGCAAAAGACCGCGCGCAGAACACAAATATTGAACAACTTCCCATCTCCAAGCTTCAACAGCCAAGCACAAGCAATACAGAGGATCATAATGAGGATTTCTTTTAAGGAAAACTAAAAATTTTGTTAAAACAAACTCGGATTGAAGCGTTTTGTTGACAGCCGAATGTGCGGCAGCTTTTCTTGGCGTTATAGTTGGACTAGAAAGGCATCCTCTAGTTGTTTCATTTGTTATACTATTTGATAGGCTAATCTTAGACTTAACGGGACTAGTTTCCTGACTAGATAATTGGCTGTGACCTACGCTAACGCTATCAACGTTGCTGGTTACGTTATTAACATCGCTCGTGCCAACAGCACCAATAGCAGCGCCCTCAATCAGCCTTACGTCACCCGGGACACTCTCTTCAGCGTCACGTCCATTCACGATCTGCAGGCTGGAACCTTTTAGATTATGAATTTCGTTCGCTTCGTTCATCTTCTTAATGCCACTTTCAATAAATTGAGATCCATCGATTGTTTGAGCGTCTGCAAGAGCAGTAGCTGATTTGGGATTTTCGGCAGCAACTGAGAGAGCTGAAAATTTGGTTTGTACTTCTTCGTCGCACAAGCCAGCCGCTTCAGTTTGAACTTTACTCAAAGGCGCGTCTTTCATCTTCGAAACACAAGCCAAATCTTCCATACTTTTTATCAACCCATTCGATTCTTCATTTGATGCGTTGCCGATGGTGAGACCTGAGTCCCCGACGCGACTCTCCTTCATATACGCAGCTTGGGCTTCTGAGAGAGACTCTTTGAGTGCGCACAGCTGGCCTAGGAAGGCCACCACACTCAGCGTCGACAGTTCCTGCTTGTCCTCAAGGGATACCTCAGCGGTGCAGGGCGTCCCCGAGAGCAGCTTGCCAGCGTAGCTCAGGAATTCTGTCGTCAAACCATAGAGGGCCAGCTTCAGGGCGCAGCGGGTGTGGGAGAACTGAAAACGTGCATCTTCATTAGTGAACAGTATTGAAAAATTGCAAGTAGTTTCGACTGATTATTATTGTCACTCCGTAACTTTTATTTAATTTACGTTTAGCAAGGTACCTACACCAAAAACTTAATAAGAGTGCAATAAAGGAAACTCTTAGCAATCAAATATTTCTTGCAACAAATGACCCATTATCTGAAATAAAAGGCATTTAAGTCAAAATACTAATCGACACAAAAGATGTTCAGCTATGACATAAAACCCAGCAAATAATGCTGAATGGCTCACCCTGACAAGAGAAAAAGCTCACCCTGGCATGTTTGTAGAGCACGAGAGCTGAAGCAAACTTCTTCTCCCTGAGCCTGGCGTCAGCGGCGACCTCGTACAGGGCGGCGTCGAGCGAGAAGACCGCGGCGAGACGGTGTGCCACCTCAGGCTTGCCACACCCCACCAAGTGCTCCATGAACACATACTCGGCGCTCTCTCTGTGTACGAACTTAAGTCTATGTACACGACAAAAACAATGTTGTTGTAACACTACAACATATACATACTCGGCACTTTCTCTGTGTACGAACAAACTTAATTCTATATACATGACAACAACCATGTTGGTGTAATGTGCTCCATGAAATTATTTCTAGTGCTCCATGAAGACATACTCGGCGCTCTCTCTGTGTACGAACAAACTTGCGTCTATATACACGACAACAACCATGTTGTTGTAACACTGCAAGATATGCACTACATATACGCTACAACAGCCATGTTGATCTGTGTACAAACAAACTTGCGTCTATATACACGACAACACCATGTTGCTGTAACACTACAACATATACATAACAACAATCATGTTGATAAGAATGTAAATTAAGAATATATTTTCCTGGAAAATAATGTGTGTGTGTCGTCCAGCATTGGTCAGATTTTATAGGCAGCCATTATTGAAAGCTAAGTCAGAATGAAACAAGAACATCGGGACCAAAATGTTCCAGCGCTGTATTGTGAGAAGTGTCTATTCTTAAAAGACTTCATTGATGTTAATTGAGATGAATACTGCAAGCTCCATTCTAACTATTTAATGAAAGAGAATGTCAGCCAGCGGCTGTAGTAAAGTTATTAAATGAACAGAGTTAAAAAAGACCGGATTAAAAGCCTTTACTGAACTTGAATGAATAGCGATCGCAAATAGTTCAAAATACGAGCTAGGTAACTTTACAGTGGGGGTAAAAACTTTAAATAAAGTTCAACATTTCATCCATTCTCGCTTTTTATGTTTCTACTGACAGATATTCAGTAGATTTATAATAAAGAAATTCAATTATCCTACGATCGAGGAATAAGACGCCGTTTACTGAAATATTAGTAAGTAAGCTTCCTTGATTCGAAATTAGGGCCACACCATCATAATCTCAATAAGTTTAGAATAAATGTCGCTGAGTTATGAAGAAAACTCGGACACGGAGAACTCACACAAGCTGCAGGACGCACAAGCCGCGGTTGGTGACCACAAGGCAGCTGGGGGCGTAGGTCATCTTCCTGCCAGCGAGAAGTTCATCCACCTGCGCATCCTCCTCCTGCTCCTGCTGTAGAGTCTCCGGCAGATCAGAGTCTGATTCGCGGATGTGGTTCACTGCTCCAAAGGGCAGCAATCGCAGGATCTTGTATTGCTCGGGTAGCTCAACGACCTCCAAAACGTGGTCTCTTTTTGGGCCCTGTGCATGAACAGGTTATAAAACCTGCCTGTCTAGCACTGCGAGATCCGAAATAATTGTTCAGATTATTTAGTGAACTGCTTAGCGATCACATTCAATATCAGATTTTATCAATTATCAGATAAACTGGTTGGCTAGAGACTCACCTCATTTATGCAAATAATATTGAATAACGCTGGTATGGTGATGTTCAAGCTCATCCTAACATTAATTAGCAATCAGTAACATGCACAGATCAGCCTTCAAATAATACCTTGACATCCACCGCGCCTGCAGCCTCGCAATCAGCGGGCACAGCAGCAGCACTAGAAGCAGCAGCAGCAGCACCAGCACCAGCACCAGCAGCACCAGCACTAGCAGCACCAGCAACGGTAGTATCACCAGCAGCAGCAGCAGCACCATAGCGCCATAATCATTTTTTAAATTGCATAAAAATTATTTCTCTGAGACAACTACGGGAAATATTGCGCAGATGTTTAACTATGAAAATCAGAAGCTCCCAAATAAGCTTGTTCCGACACAAAAAATAACCTTGAGTGTATTGCGGTTGGTGTCGTGCAGAGATATGAGGTACGAGCTGTTGGAGTACTGAGGTGCAGCTATGAGGTCGCCCCTCTCAGGCAGCCACGAACACAGCGGCTCTGGTAGACAACCACCACCACCATCGCCACCATAGGGCTGGTAGACGCCATCACCTCCATCAGGCTCGTGGAGCTCCAGAGGGAATAGGAACCTCCGACTGCGGTGCTCCAGCAGCAGATGAAACTCATGGCCGCTTTGATCACGTATCTTTTGGAGAGTACAATATTCATTTTACAGATAATATATTAGTCTAACATGTCACTTCTGATCATTAACATTGAAATCAAATTTTTTCTTTTTTGGTAACTAACTTACACAATGGATAGTTAAAGCTAAAGTATTTCATTGCAGACCCTACCATTAAATGCATCAAATAAATTGATTCAAGGTCAGGAAATGAAGGCAAGGGACTCACGAGGAGGTTGGTGGTGTCGAGGGCGTTGTCACTGCAAAGGGCGAGGGAGGCGACAGGCTGCGTGATGTAAGTGCCTCCCACCTCGCGCCCTGTGGTGAGCTCCACCATACACAGCTCCCCCAGCACCGTCCCTATGATGGCTATCTGCAGGTCTCCTCCTGATGGCTGCCACCTTGTGAATAAGAAAGACTCATGTTGAATATTGTGGCATTTAAATGCGTCAAGGACATAAGTAGGTCTCTTAATGTAATAAGAAAAAACAAAACACCATCACTGTTGCAGGATATTGTTCTTTTGGAACTTTTAACTACTTGGGATGCTTCCTCTTTTAACTAGAAAATGGAGTAAAATTTATTTCATGTTCCAAATGAGATGCAAATGTCAATTTACTGTTTGATGATGAACCACTTACGTATTCAGAAGTGCTTTTGTCACTAAGTGTTAAGTGTTAGTGAAAAAGTTAGTGCCAAAGTTTCAAGAAGAAACAGTTCAGGCAATTGACTTACTTTCCTAACACAAGTAACAAATAAAAAAGAACCTTAAAACATTACAACAGCAGATGAGTCCTTGAACAATTCAAAATTTCAGAACTTCAATAATTTACCTGCTTTAACATGTTTAGAAAGGACACCTCATAAGTTCATAGCAATATTTTCCAAAGGACGGCACATCATCAATCGGTACCATTGGCGCGATCTCTCAACAAATCAATAGCGTCAAGTCAATGTTCCAGCACTAATGGTGCACATCTATCACAGCAACTAGCACTTCAGGATTGAGAGTTTGCTAGGACCCTTGGCAATAGAGTGCCACTTTCTTGCATGAAGAGTCAAAATGGTTTCCGCACAACAGCCTTTTCTGATAAGTGACCTCAGGATGAACTTTTTGAGCTGCATATTTCTTTTGTATCATAATTAATCTTCAATACCTACATCAACCAAATTATGAAAAAATCCACATTAACTTCATCCACAAATTAAAATATTTGAATTGCTTACCTACTAGTAAAATTCAACTATATTTTAACAGAAATAAGAGTTAGCCAATGAGGCTGAAATAATTGAAGAGCATGAGAAGACTGACCAAACAAGAGCAGAAGGTTTGGCTCTGCTACCACAAGCTGGTATGGTGAAGACCTCATCCAAGATGTGCTCAGGGTAGACATCCTCAGCTGGCAGTGCAGGCTTCCCAGCCCGATGTGACCCAGCACCACTCTCGGGCCACAGGCTCCACAATGGCAGCACATACAGGCTTCCATTGTTCACTGAAACATGATCAATTGAATGTTTCGCACCTTGGGAAAGTATTCAATTGAAATTTGTCTTTCATCTTGAATAATATTTGTTCAAATCAATTGTGTAATAAAGTTATTAGGATTTTCTCATTGTGCAAGTGCAGAATACAAAGAACAGAAGACTGGTGGTGGTGGTGCTTATTTATTCTAAACTTACTGCCTTTCACAACTGGTTACAGCCAAGAATGACATTTACACTACTAGTATTTTATGAACCATAAAATGGGGTGACTTGGACCATTTTTTTTAGGAAATGAAAACCCTATAGCTCAACAAGTTCTTGCCTTAGGAAAATTGATTTGGTAGCTCTTTATGTACAATTAAATCAACTACAAATACAATAAAGATTTATCTTGCATATTTACTATGTGACTTTGTATCACAAAAAGTATGTACCTACCAATGCTAAAATGTTTTATGTCATCCTGTTCTCAGAAACTTGTTAATTTTTCAAACTTGAATCAGGCTAAAATATTAATAGGACAAAATTAGTACATACAAAATCATAATTGAGCAATAGTTGATAACTCTCAAGAAATCTTCTCAAAAATACCATACAAACATTTTTATTGACATCTTTAACAAGTATACATTGACAAGTAATTTCAAATTCCTCAAAAACCTATAGCAATAATCTTGAAGATAACTGGTGATAGTCTAAAATTTGCAGTGATGCAAGCTTTGTATTATGCAGAAATATAGGATTCATATTTTCTCTTAAAAATGTTCTCATTCATGCATAAGCACATCAGAAAGAACACTGAGTCCCTAATATTGAGCATCCATTTGCTCCACAAACCAGCTATGAGGAGATGCTCAGCAGTGGGGCTGAAAGCGAGTGCATTAGGCAGCAGCAGAGGGTCTGAGGTCCAAGGTACAACACAGCAACTCAGCTCCCCTTCTCGCAGCCGCTGCACCACCACTCTACCTTTGCTATGAAGTGTACAGGATATGTTAATGCTGCTTAAATCAAAATTAAACTTTCAAAGTGCTCATTTATATAAAATGGGAGTTATTGATATTGCACTCAAACTTCCCAACACAATATTTGATGTTAAAAATTAGTTCAAATATATAGGTATATATTTATATACAGGGGTTGGACAAAATAAAGAAAACACCTTACATTTTGACATGTTAATTTTTCAACATGTTATAAACAATGAAAACATGATATATTTTTATGTTTCATTGTTGCTGCGAATTGATATTTTATCCTTGCACAAATATTTTTAGTTACTTTTTGTTTCTATAACCTAACCTAAAATGTATATATAAATGGCAAACCTCTGACTTTCAAAGAGGCCATAATTGTTGGTGACCATATGGCAGGTGCTAGATTGACAAAAGTTTTCCAAATGCTCAATGTTTCTAGAGGTACACTCTCAAAAGTAATGACTGCTTTTGAAAGAGAAGGGAAAACATCATCAGCAAAGCACAGCAGCAAAGCACAGGTCTGGTCAAAAGTTGAAGTTGTCTGAGAGAGACTGTCAGTACCTGAACCTATATCAAATTGTGAGAGATAATCAAAAGGTAATGGCTGTTAAAATTACTTCAGGCCTCAATGGTCACCTACAGAACCCAGTTTCCATAAAGACTGTCTGCCAAGAGCTGTACAGATCTGCCAAGAGCTGTACAGATCTGGATTCTATGGAAGAGCTGCAAATAGAAGCACTGCTTCTAATTGCAGCCCAGCAGCGTTTCCACTGAGAGTTCAAGCACTGTTTTCAGAAGAGAATGTCATCTTTCAAGATGATAATGCCACAATCCATACAGCCAAAATAGTTAAAAGATGGCATGAGGAACATTCTAATGAAGTTGAGCATCTCATTTGTACACCACAATAACCGGACCTGAATATTATTGAGAATTTATGGTCGATTTTAGAGATGCATATCAGAAGTTGATTCCTGCCACCATCATCTTTTAAAGAGCTGGAGGGAGTTTTAACTAAAGAATAGGTTAGAACTCCTTTGGAAACAACTCACAATTTGTATGAATCAATACCTAGGAGAATTGAGGCTGTAATTATCACAAAAGGTGGACCTACCTACACCATACTAAAATATATTTTGTGGATTTCTCAGATGTTACTTTTATATTGTTAAACCTCTGTATCTCAATTTCAAATAACTGCTTTATTTTTTTAAATAAAAAAATTATAAATTCAGCAAATCACTTACCTGGTTGTGGTGGCCACAACAGACAACCGAGGGGCAGAAAATGAAATGGAAATAAAAATTTCTTCATCTTCAGGAAGCCCCCCCAGAATTTCTATAAGTTTAAATAATTTTTTATCCATAATGCAAAGTGTCACAAATCAGTAATGAACATAAGAAAATGAAAACAAAAAGATAATGATAGAATAGAGAACAAATAGTTAAGGTGCATGGCATTCATCTGCAGAGCTTTACTAGACAGCCCTGTTAGATTCAGTTGCTAAGCCATCTGTAAGTGAGGAAACATATTTAGTTGTAATTTAAAGCATACTTAACATGAAAACTAGAATATTTTTCCATAATACATGTTAACAATACATTCTACATACTATCTATATAGACAAATAATAGTAAATTCCATCCGTGTCATGGAAATTAGAGGAAGGAGGGGTAATAAGAAATATGAAGTGCATCATTTCTTGGCACTAACTGAATCTGAGCCATTTTGTAATGTTAGACAGAAATTTTCCTAAAGTTGCAGAAAAAGTTATTATTTCAATGGTGATTTTCCTAAGTTGCAGGTAAAAATAAGCTGTTTTTCTTATCTTTCAATTTTTTAATGAAGGAATAGAAAAAAGTCCATAAGAATGAGTGAAATTGGCCAGATTCACTGGCGTTTTTGTCTGGGTCATGGGTGGCTTCTGCCCAATTTTCCAGTTAGGAGTCTCAGTATGGAGTTTGGGAAGAGACTGGACTGGCTTCCTCCTGAAGAGGAGTTTGGGATGCAATTTGTAGGAGGTCAATATCAAGGCTGGTATCTTTGTTGCTTTTGGACCACTAATCCTATATAATGATGAGCAATACCTACCGTCAAATGGGGTAATACTAATAAGGGACGGTTTCTGTCTTCTGTGTTTTTTACTTGTTTATCATTTATTGATATATCACCATATTCATTCATTACCGTATTATTGAAGTGATATTACCGTATCCATAAACATGCCATTGAACATTTACAACAACCTTGTCCACTGCAAGCTTCATATCATTAGCCGTATAGCATTTCTTATGTATCTGGAAGCTTACAGGACGGCTTGTAATTTCAGACCATTTTAATTGGGCTAAGTGATTTCACTATTAAAAAAGATCATAAAAACATACCTGAAACAGAAAGAAATGTTTTAGTAAGAACCATCATATGTTTTGGAGAAATAAATCATAGTTCAGGATAATTGCTTCTCATTCTATGATGCCCAGTGCACAATTCTATACATGACATTCTGTGAACAATTTTGTGATGGCTGATGAATGGCAACTCTAGTTGCCACCTCCAAAAATGGTTGTATTATTCATAATATAAGGTAAATTTTAGTTTTATAGTTGTACACTGCATCATACACATTCCATACAATTACTGAACAAGAATTGTTCACCTCGGTTGATCACCCTTCAGTCAGTTGACCTTTCAACTACAGGCGGTCACTATGTTTATGATCAGGCCAGTACCAGCCCACAGAAAAGGCTATGTTCCTATTGTTTGTGAGTAAATATTTTATAATTCTAAGTGTTGAAATGATGGATTAGGAGTCTAGTAGTCAGACAAAATTCATAAATGGCAAAAACATTAAAATTAAAGACAATATAAGCTAAATCATACATGGTGGCACCTGAAGTTGCCACTCGGCATTTGTGACATGTAAACTGTGTTCTTGCATGAATGTGGAGATAAAAGGCTAGTACCTCATGTCCTACATGTATTATAACAAAATAAGTCAACATCTAGTTGATAGAAAGATATTTTAATGAAGTTTAATAGTGATATTTATAACATACATGTTATTTACATATATTCATATATATATGAATAGATTTATAAATATTCAAATGCAAGTGAACTTTGCCAGAATTTTACAATATGTTGGTAGATTAGGACAAAAATGACAATGAAGTTTTGTTCACAATTTATCATTCAATGAAAATGCTTCGACAGAATGATACATGGAATCAGATGATTTTGATGATAAGGTTGCCCACAAACCTGGGAAAGGAATTATTTGCTTGGACTTAAATTTAACATCCTCCCTTACTAAAATCCCCAGGCCTCCCCTTTCTCTAATTCTATGTAGCCACTGTGACTGATATCCAAGAAATTTTGGTTCATTTTTCTTTAGCCATGTTTCACTTGAACAAACCAGATCTGGCTTTCTTGTGTACATATAGATCTTAAGTTCTGAAACTTTACCCTTGAGACCATTGCAGTTTAGTTGGTAGATTTCAAGCTGGGACTCTAGTTCAGTTGCTCGTTGTATGGAATTAAAATTTACAGCAGCCATTTAAATTTTCTTTTTCTTTGAGCTTCTGGTCGACTTATTCTGTCTCTTG